TTTATTGGCGTTTAAGCAAAGTTTATGTAACCATCCCGCCCTGAGAAATGTGTTGGTTTATTTGAGCGTGCGCCGCCGTTATACAGCATTTACAGTACACGCACGGTGCGGTAATAACGAGCTGTCATGCTTTCACATGTTATATTTCTGCACTCATCCCACAACGAACGCTGCTGACCACTCAGGAGTCCCACCCGCACCACAGCCAGCATATTCTGCACCCACGACGTTTGTGTTGAGTCTGCAGGATCGCTCACTACTGCTGCGAAACATCGTCTATATTATACCTATGATTAAACGCGTGTGGGAAGCTCGGCGCTTTAACAAACACGTCGGTTTTTTTCCAGCTTTACGGCCTAATTTGGTCGGATAATTAGCGGTTCCATTTTGCGGGCATTGTTGTGAAACACAATGTCTTTATGGAGCGCTGAAAACACGTACAGCGCTCTCATATTAAACATACATACGTACAATGTGCGGAGCAGCTGCGGCGCAATAAATCTGCTAATGCACTGAATGGACTTTCATGGGAGAATAAAGCGTTCAGTTCATTAAGTATGATGGAAGCCTTGGCTCTCTGTGCCATGCATTTCCTAAGATAAAGAAGTAAGCTCTCCATAGAGTGTGTGTGTGTGTGCGTTTGTGTGTGTGTGTGTGTTGTGTGTGGATAAACACTAATTCAAACTAATGGAGTCAAATCAGCACATTGTACAGTGCTATTGGTGTTGGTTAAACGCATTTGTGTTTGAAGTGAAACAGCTTTAACGGACTGATTTCGCAAAATTAGAGAGGAAACGTCCTGCATCACGTCACGATATGCCACTACTGACGATAACCATGATATTATAACACTGACATACAAATATCTTGTTGATAATCATGTTAAAAATAATCTAGCAACTATCTGGTTGACACGCCAACATACGATCAACAGAAGTTATAGTTACAGACTCTCTCCGTTCCTCCCGACACTCACTCAAAAAAGTTTTCCAACAGATATCACGATAATGTTGTTAAGAGTTCATTCTTTTGGGCGTGATAACTGTGCAATGAAAATCAGACATCATGGCAGCTCTAGTTGCTTTGTAACTCAAGCATCTGTATCAAACCAAAGAAATATAAACAGAATAGTGGAATTGGTGCAGATCTGAATTCTTAGGACCAAACTTGAGTTGGACACTCCCCACCAGCAATAGAGAAAAGGAAAAGTAAGGGACAGCCTGAGAGCACGACTAAGAAACCGAACCGAAGCCTTTCCCCTCATTATGTAGTTAATTTACGTGATGTGATTGTGTTACTCTGTGATTTAGCGGTTATTTGTGCGGAGCTGCAGACTGAGCAGTGACACTCAGGGATTAACCAAGTGTAAAGCGCTCCCATATTACGAACCAGGTCAATCGTGAGCTAGTTCAATAAAACACATCATACCCGCGCGTTTGCGTAATGCACGCCTTGCATTTGGTTTTGCTGCTTCAGTCGTATGACGGAACAGGTTGGTGGAAAAATGGGTGAAGAAACGACGAGCTGGGTTTTCTCATTCCGAGATGAAAAGACAGCTAAGATAAGCTGGGTTAGAGGTTACAAGTCAATATCTACGCAATGATTATTATTAAATGTATCAGAAGCTTGGGAAAAAAAACACAGTTCAACACATTTTCTTTTACCAGCTTCGATAAAACTATGAAAAGTGAGCGATGGAAAGAAATCTCATGAAATCCTGAAACTCTAACGTGGATTCACTGTGGAGGGGAATGGGCCACGACATGCTGGTGTGCTCGTCCACCAGAAGCAGGAGCGCATTCTTCTGACGCGCTAACAGCATGGCTTACATTAAAACTAGTTGGGATTGAAAAGCGACTGTGCCAGAGGGCTGAGGCTCTTTGCCCGCATGGGTACGATGAGGTAATGTCTCATTACATATGCATGCCATAGTACTGACATCTTTAGAGACGAATACTCAACATTTATTGTTAAAATGTTGTCATGTGAGATAAAAACCTGAACGCATTGTGACATATTTGCAGCAGCAGACATCCTGAGCGGTCTTCGTAACACATGATCTGTAATGAGTACCTCCACATGGAGCCATGAACTATTAGAGCCCAGGACATGGACTGTAATTTGTAATGTGGCGTTCCTTTAACATTTATAGCATTAGCCATGTGAGGCAGGGTTTCTACTGCATTGAGGAGTTCTTGGCACCCCACACGGAGGTTTTATCCAGCGCTGAAGGAAACTTGCCAGAGCGAAAAATAAGAAATTTTTGGGATTATTTTCTAACCAGCTTTGTTAATTGGTGTTTCATTTATTACAGTAATTAGCTAGAGACATGTTTGTGGTCAGAAATGACAGGAACATTCACGGATTTCTGTCAATGCAGCAGCACAGACTCACTGCACTAGTCATGCTTACTGTCATGCGTCGACATGCCCCAGAGGCACATTCTGAGCCAGTAGACACACTGGAATCAAGAGCATGCCAATTATGTGGCAGTTAGCGAAGCACGGTAGCGCTTTCCAGGTAAAAGAAAGGCAGGGATAGACCGTGAGGTGTCCTCGTGCCCCACAATATTTGGTAGCAGGATGTCTGAGGTGCTAAAAAGATGCTGAATTCTCACCAAACACTTACCAAATGACTGTGAAAGGGTCCGTGAACAAATTTCTCAGAGCGTTTGTGAATTTCTTTGGCCTTCTATGCGAGAATAATTTAATGCCGCTCTCCAATCTGTAACATTTCGTTCAAGAAAATGTATTTGGACAAACGGAGAAGACCTGGCAGTGACTCTGGTGGGATGTTTTTACTGCACATTGAAGTATTCAGACAAATAAACGTTTCCAGCTCCACTCCGGCTCACAATAAAAGCAAAGACTGCCCTGGATAATCAGAATAACGTAATGCTACTCTATTCGCCGCTAACTGAGGGATTAAATTATTGATGCTGTAAAAGCATAGCTGATGTTGAGACATGCTTTAATTCTAATCTTAGGAAGATGGTGGTGAAAGCTCAGCGTTAACAGCAGCATCATCATCATCATCCGATCCGGCCTGCTTCCACAAGTCTGAAGCCTCGCAGTCCTCCCGACGGACGGGTGCAGCGTCGTGCTCTGCCATGCTGGTTATTTGGTTCCATTGCCACCGGGGCGGTTGCCATGTCTGCAGTGGCAAGGGATTCCCCTCAAATGATGGGCGAGGCAGCAGACACACCCCGCTGCCCAGTGCTGCAGAGAGACTGGCTTGGGTGAGGGGCAGCTCTCTCTCTCTCTCTCTGACTCGGCATAAATGGGAAGGGGTGGAGCCGGCCTCCCTCTGGCAGTACCACTACAGGCCGGTCCTGGAGAGCAGCACGCAGCGTGGCCTTCAAACACTGACAGCTTACTTGTTGACTCTTGGAGCTGAAGCATGGACAGTAGCTTCTATTAATCCTGCTTTGGCCTTGTTAAGAAAAGCAAACAGATATGACTCTGACATGTCCAAGATTGTGGAAAATGAAAGAAATATGACACCAAATCTGGTAGTTTCTGAATATTGAAGTAAAACAGGCCACTGGAACTCCTTATATTTCCATTAGGGAAGCCACTACTTGTGCACACTGAGCCCCACAAAGACATTCTGGCCATTCTTCTCCATAAAGGAGCACGGGCCTGGTCACACATCACTGCATTCCCTGACTTGTGCTGTCAGTGTGCCCGGTGCTGCTGCTCTTATTGTCCACACAGTGCTGGTACAGTGAGATGCAGCCTTTGTGAAGCTGTGATAAAACGCTGCCTATGAAATGGTGCACTACGGGTGGGCCTGTGCTGCATCTTGGCAGATGCTGCGGCACGCCTCTGTGTGGGAACCTGCTGGAAGAGGTCGAGGACGCAGGGATGCGGCTGCTACACGGCATCGATTAAAACACGCGCTCCGTCACGCTCGTGGCTGCGCCGATTTCAAAATAAGAACAGAAATAAGACAGAAAAGAAAGACTGGACCATTTGCTGCAATATGACATCTACGGGAGATGATTCTGGAAAGCTGTCCGTCCACCAACACCCACGTCTGAAAGGTGAACGGCTCCTATTTTGCGCGCTGCTTCTGCGCAAAATCGATTGCGATCAACCTTCAGCCAACATTGCTCGTGTTCCCAATGCGCCAAAGTAGCCTGACAGCGGACGGCTGTTTCCTCACGTCAGGCTAAAAGAAAAAAAAAGCTGCATTTCACAGCAAATCGACGGCTCGTTCATCCTGCGTAAAGCCGAGCAGCTGAGCCTCCGCCGTCCCCTCTCCTCCTCCTCCTCCTCCTCCTCCTCATCATCATCATGGTACCACCTAGAGCTCGTCCTCTGCTCCGGCTCTATGCGCATCTTTTCGACGGGATTCTTCTTGAATCTGATCCGGACAGTCGATGATTGAATCACCTCTCATTTATGAGCTTCATTTTCTTTCCCAACCCAAACAGGCTGAACGGTTATAAAAGGAGGCAGGCGAAAGGCACCGCCCCAAGATCAAACAGTCCGCATTTCACACAGCCACCACGATCCACCGCAGCACACCGGCCGATCACAGCCCGCATCTACCGCCAATCAACCTACACACGAGCCTCTTTCTAATCACACCGATGTCACCCATACCTGTGATATGTGAAATGAGAACATAAGGCTGTGCGGGGCCTTGCGCCGCCGCCGCCGCTGCTGCTCCAAACCACGGTGCCCAAACCTTATCACAGCAGCCCACTATCGCCCTCGCGGTGGTGTCTTTCTCATAAACGCGCTCTTTAATCATAACTTTCATACACCAATTTGGCGTCGTTTATCCGCTTAAGCGAAAAAGTGCTCCAAGCAGCGAGGGTCGGTCCCCTGCCTGCCCGTCCGTCTGTCTGCGCCGGCGCTAGCTTAGCAGCCTTTTTACGCATTTCTCACAGTGGCGCGCACCTCGACGAGGCTATTTCTAATATATACACAATTTTTTAAAAAGTGAGATATAAAGGGAGAAAGGTCATGAGGAGAGGAAGCCTTACTCACCGCTTTCATGGCAGCTGCCATATCATCGTACCTCTCCGCCTGCTCGGCCAGCCTGGCTTTCTGCACCAGTTCCCCGCGGTCTACCATTTTAGAGGTCGTGTTGCGCGTTTGCTGTCCGGTGGCGTTTCGGAGCTAAAAAATCGGAAGATGAATGTGTTTTAATGCGGTACCGAGAAGAAAGCGGGTTCCTGTCGCTGCAGCTGCTGCCTGCTGTCTGTGTGCCTGCCGACGGGACACCCCTCCCCCTCCGACCACTTTCCCTCGGTTGTGTCACCACCCAAAAAGGCGTGTCCTCGCCGAGTGATGTAACGACCCTGGCAGCCCGGAGAAACTGACAGTGCAGCCCACTGCCCTACACCCAGCCTGCGAGCTAGTGCGAATGTGCAGAGAGGAGCGGGCCTTTTCCACGCACTGTGCTGTATTTTCATCTGGTTTATCTCACCAAATGGAGAGCTTGATTTGTAAACCAGGAAGCTGTCCTGGATCCATCAGAGCCCCTCCACACACACAGCAGGGATTACAGGTTGATTTTCACCCCACCTGACAATCTGTAAAAGTGCCCAACATTCAGCCCAGATTGTTCGGTAATGTGAGGTTCACACATTCAACCATAAAGATCCTAATTTGTGCCCCATAGCTGTAAAGATGGTTCACTTCAGCATGGCTGCATAACCTCTGGTGTTTCTGTGGCTCTGAGAGCTGCTGCTGCTGCTGACCACGCCCTCTTCAGGAAGAAGACTGTCTCATCTGTGATTGACAGCTCAGAGACAAACACTTCAGCACAGGACAGCTGGCAGGTAGTGTGTGAGACCAGGGCTGTGTCTGACATCACACCCTATATCCTATATAGTGCACAGTATAGGGTACAGGGCTGTCCAAATGTTAGCTTACAAATGTCACACCCTGTATAGTGCAATCAAAATGTCCCACAATGCACCGTGAAAAGAAGTAGTGTACAGGTGATGGTCACTAACCAGCAATGCATGAAAGGAAACGCAAACTAGACTAATGAGAGCACGAAACATGTCATTGAAATCTAAATAATTTCCCGTTTATCCATCCATTGTCTATACACCACTTAATCCTCACTAGGGTCATGGGGGGCTGGAGTCTATCCCAGCTGACTCAGGGTGAAGGCAGGTTCACCTGGACAGGTAACCAGTCTATCACAGGGCTACACTTAGAGACAGACAACCAAGCACACTCACATTCACACCTACGGACAATTTAGAATCACCAATTAACCTCAACATGTTTCTGGACTGTGTGGGAGGAAGCTGGAGAACCCGGAGAGAACATGCAAACTCCACGCAGGAAGATTCCGGTGCCACATTTTAAAATCTGTTTTTAAACTCCTGTAGTGTGAACCTGGCTTTTGGCAGCTTTCCCCTCCAGGCTTGAGGTGGCAACAAACATTTAAGCACCAGCACCAGCCTCATAATTGGCCCTTGGTCCTGTAGTTCACCAACCATAAAACACCACATGTTCAGTTTGAAATATCTTAAACAACGACTTTTAGATAAGAAACCATTTTGTTGTATTTGTATAATAGTTTCTGACAAAGAGACAGTTTTATGGTCTTCAGGTGTGATCGACTGAGTCACCGTATAGCTGATAAAGACAGGACACACCCGTGACCACAGACCAGGTCAGATCTCACACTGGTGCCACTCTGTTTCTGGGCAGAAGAGAAGCACAGCAGCAAGACGACTATCATTTACAAGCTAAAGATTTGGAACTGACCACAACACTTTTCATTTTAAAATTGATTCCATCATTTGTTGGAGTGGATGAACAGAATATGGTTTTGTTTGCGTGTAATAAGGATATACCATTTCCCAATATTTCTGCAGATTGCGATGATTGTAGGCAGGCTCATAACGGTGATATGCTGAGTCATTTTATCATGACTCAACAAACACGCCCTCTTATACAGGCTGTCCTGTTTCTCTGTCCATTCAGAACCTGGACTTTTTCTGAATTTGGTCCATTAGCTGCAGCTTTGCTCCTGACTGAAAACCACTTACAATATCTCTGTTTTACATATGTCAAAATGCCAACCTTTGTATTTCTGAAGGTATTTTGCTTATCTAAATGTACATTTAAGGAACAGAATGGTTTCTCTAATTACCTGCAGTTCTGATTTGACCATAATGTAAAAGTGCTAAATGTCTCCTTTGACGTGATCACAGGTCATAACTCAGATACAAGAAAGTGTGTCTTCAGCTTTAGGACATATTTCTATCTTTAATCTGTGTTTGTCTGCAGGATCTACCAGGCAAGTAATGGATATCTATCTATTTGAAACACTACAAAATGATCCAGATTGTTGTTGTGATTTTTTTAAAGTGGTAAATTGGGCAACTGTCTATTCATTTTAGCTTTTGTTTCTTTTTGTTGATTTAATTTTTTAAAATGCATTCCTATTCTCCTAATTTTTCCCTGAAGTTTTAACAAAATATTAAAGGACAATACAATATTTTTCCACAAAATCGGGGCAGCCAGAAGGACAGACAATTTTTTTTTTTTTTTTTTGTAATTTTTTATGCTTAATCCCGGCTAGATTTTTTTGCCCCACATAAAAATGTTCTGAAACATTTGTGCAAAGTTTCAGTAATGATTCCTGCAATGTTCGTCTTAACGCTAGAATAACATTCTCATCCTGTTGATAACATTGTTAGACCATTATATTCTAACAACGTTTTACAATGTGTTCAACGACAGCATCATAACATTCTCAGAACGTTTTGTAAAAAGGCTTCTCTCATCTGATGAGGTCTTTGTTGGAATGTAACTTGAGCTGTGACACTGACAACGTCCAAGCTCGTCTGAATGTTGAAGGTTCTGCTTTGGTTCTACCCCTCTAGGATATGCTATTTTAAATACCCTTAAAACATTATTTAAACATTAGATTTTATTTAAACCATTATTAGAACTTGTAGGTAGTGTAGCTGGAATGGTGTTACAACAAGGGCTGCCAATGTCAAATGACTTTAAATGTTATGACCTCACAGTCAAAGCATCAACCTTATTCATCCACCTGTATTCCTGATGAAAGATTACATCCTTCTGCAGAGACAATGTGCCACTCCTCAGAGACGTTTCTTCAGCTGCTGTTTTGCCGGAGGGGGTGTGTTGCTCTACCTTTCTCTAAAATACCCCAAAGGTGCTTTATTGGATTCGAGTCAGGCAACACACTTGTCTCGGTCGTAGCTTTCACTTTGTTGTTCTTTAGAAAATCTTTTGTGGTTTTGGCAGCGTTCTTTAGATCATTATCACGCTGGGATCTTCATCTTCTGCCAAGCTTCAGCAGACTGTGAGTCAGCAGTATTTTGGTATAGCCACAGGCGTTCATTGTGCCATCTATGAACAACATCTACCCAACACCTTTTTGCACTCATTCAGCCCCGTATCATCATATCACAGCTCCGGGCTTCACTGTCAGGACGGTGCACTGACTGTGGTAGACCTGGTCAGGTTTAGGCCAAACAGACTGGAACCACCGATTCATTTAAGTAGTATCGAGCAGAGGAACGTCTTCCCACCATTCATCAGGCTTCCTTTATGTTCTTTCGCAAAGTTTCGTCTTGCACATTTGTTGCCGACAGCGAGCGAGGGTGTTTTTCTTGGAAGCGGTCCACGGGGGGGGTTAGCATTATGTAATGTGCCAGCTTTCACAGAAGCTCGGTTTCCGTTGATAACCCCTGTGCTAATTCTGAAGCGGTTGCCTGTTTTTCAGAGCCAGATTAGGAAAGAAGAGCAACGTCTGTGAACACTGCAGCTCCGATTAGTGGTACTTTGACATTTAGGTGATACTGCACAGGGATGTACTCACTCTCTCGTATTCTTTCACCCATTGCAATATCATTTAAGATAATGACGATGTTAATATAGAATATTTACCACGTTTGAAAGAAGTAAAAACACATTTTCATCTTTAAAAGGTGTAACTCTACCAATAAAATGGACCCTGGCTTATTTCAGATTTTTGCTCGTGTTTCTATGACCATTAGCATTTTGTGGCTAATGTTAGCTAGCGTCAGCAAACTCTAGATTAATACTCGCTCTGTGTAACTGATAGAATTGAGTCGTTTTGTTTATTTTATTCTAAACTTTTGCCACCATTACACCACATTTTATCTTTATACTTAAATCATTACCACGCTGCTAGCTGCCTTCTTCTATTGGTTACAGTGACTTTGGTTAATTCGAGCTATTTCATCCTAACTGGTTCATTTGATTCAAGAATTATAGATCAACTAAGTCATTTCAGGAATGCTTTCTTTCTTTGTTACACAAGCTAACATTACTGTACACATTCGCTTGACGCTTAGCTTGTTTTCACCAGCTACAAACGCTAAATAATTAATGGAGGGGAAATGGGTTGGCTTGAGAAGAAAGGGTTAAAAGCTGCAGTTAAAGTGAATCTAACTCTGTCCTGCAAATGAAGATATCTTGTTTTCCTCTCCTCTGAACTAATTCAGACGGTGAAGTCGCCATATTTTGCATAAATGTGTCACTAAAGAAGACAAATCAAACATATGTGTTCAGGAGGATGACATATGCAGATTCACCGATTTTTAACGTTTTTACACCAAAAATATATTATATACAAAAAAATAAGAACATTTATTTCGTCACATATAAATGATTATTACATTTATTTATATGAGAGTTTACAGAGCACGAGGAACACGTCATTTATTTCATATATTCACAAGTTATAACACATTTTTTTATTATCATGGATGCATCTGTTTCCTTGTATGGTTTATAGTATACAGTATCATTTTCTTATTTCTATTTGCTTTATCGTACATATTTTTGGATTGTGGATCTAAAGCTTTCCTGTAAAAAAACACTTTTTTTTAATCCACATACTTATTAACCGATGGACTTCCTCCAGTATATTCCTTACTTAATCATCAAAGTATAACATGTACAGTAAATATTTTAACAACGAAAAGACAGACGGACAGTTAAAAGCTTAGGTTTTCTTCATTTATCAAATAAAAAATGTGTACATTGTATTTTATATCATATATTTATAAAGTGCTTAATAGGCATAGATAGTTATAGTATGTAATCATATATTGTCATATTAGTTGTTCTGTATGTTGTTGAGGGTGAAGTTTTCCTTCAGCAATGTGAAAGCTGTTATTTACATAATGTATACAAGTCCTAGGTTGGTACGCCCACGTCCTGGTCAAGGTGGAGGTGGGAGTGTGGTTCTGCTGAAATCATGACAGTGAGCAGGTGACGCCAGCATCTTCAAAGTGGTCACAGTTGTGCACATTCCAGGATATATGGGAGCAATCCTGCAGGGAGGCTTCAGCACCATTGCACTTGAGATTATCCAGATGGATCATTCCCGTGCCGGGCCCGAAGAACGCTTCTAGCCGAGCCACCGTGGCATCTCCGCAGCCCACTTGCCGACACACGACCTGGGCGTCAGGCAGGTCCCAGGCGTCGTCGCACACTGTGCCCCATTCAGAGTTTAGGTACATCTCCACTCGACCCTCACATTGGTGCTGACCATCCACCAATCTCACCATTCCTGTAAAAACAAACAAAGTTTTAAAAATTCCTGTTTTTGTGAGGCGTTCTGGAGGAGATTGGCGTGGCTGATGGTGAGCTTGCTGAAGCTCTGAGCAACCTACCATCGGAGGGTGGTGGGGTGGTAGTGGGGGCTGTTTCTGTTACTCCAAAGTCACGCGTGTTGGCAAATTTGAATTCATAGGCTGAGGGGAGCAGAGAAAACAGAGTGATGCTCCTGCTCAGGAAATATCAGGCCACAAACGCATTAGCGAGGCTCTCTTCTAATTAGCCCGCTGATCAATACAGAAAGCCTGTTTGCTTCCAGGGTTCCTTTAAGGTAATAACACAGAGACACACTTTGCAGAAATATTTTCAACACATGTAATAATGATTTTGGTGCCATCCATGCATAAATGCTCATTATAATTACCTACTGAAGGCAGAATTACTCAAGACACCTGACGACAAACTGCTGCCAACAAATGTATACTTCTTTTTTTTTTTAATCGATCTAAAACTAAGGATTTACTGTATAAATAGCAGGAGGTCTGTGTGTGCATTTGATTTAGCCTTAAAGGAGTTAAATCTGGCCTGCAGGCATGCAGTGACGCTGATGTGCCTTGACTCATCCACTGTATTTTTTATGCTCTCTGGGCCGTCTCCTCCTCAGAGTACTACAGTCATGCATTGCAGCTGGACAGCTAAGCGGGGCGGGCACAGATGACTAGAGAAATGGGAAGTATGAGCTCTAAGTGGAATTGATGACTTAAGCTAGACTTTCATACGACCATAGAGACAGATATCGCCGATGTACAGTACAGTAGGATGTGCATGTTGTGAATGTGTGTCTAACGTAGGCTGGTTTAGCCCCACATGAAGCCAAGTCAGGTCTTACGTAGACAGATAACTCCCGCGTCTTCATGATGGCCACAGTTGTGCTGACCCCAGCCCAGATGGAAGCAGCTGGACAGCTCAGCTTCTTCACCGCTACATTCCACATTATCCAGCAGGATCGGACCCGAACCGTAGCCGAAATAGGCCTGGTTCTTGGCTGCAATTGCCGGGCCACAGCCAAGCTGCTGACACACCACTACTGCATTGGGCATGTTCCAGTCATCGTCACACACCGTCCCCCAAACATTTTTGTAGAGAACCTCCACACGACCCTGGCAGCTACTGTTCCCATTCATCACACGAATAGACGGTTTGTCTGCACAGAAATAAGCAGACAGGTCCATTATTGCAGTTTTACTGTACAAATTATTATCTTTTCTTACTTAATGTAGATGCAATAATATTCTGTTGAAGTGTCCAATATTAAAACACAGTGTATTTATCTAACAAACATCTGTAAAATACTGTTACTTTTTGTCTGGGCAGTCGTGGCAATAGTTGTTGTTGTTGTCGTTGTTGTTGTACTTGTTGACTCCGTGACTGGAACTTGATCTGTTGCTGGAGGGAAAATGAAAAACAAAACTGCATGATGATGAGTCAACAATTACCTGTTAATAACAATCACAGCCCTGTCAGTGTTTGACCGCCCTGGTTTGTGGCACTGTGGTGCAGCACTTTAAAGAGAACGGGGGAGAAATGGCTCTCCCTGTTGGTCATTTGGCAAAAATGCACATTTCATTTCTACTGAGGAAAAGATTCCTGCACAACACACAAAACATGCTAGTACAAAGGAACAAATCATCAGTTTGTGGTCGTTTGCACACAGATAAACACAATCTGTAGTTAATAGTATGTTTTTTTACCTTGAGTGTTTGCTGTTCCCAGGGACCCTCTCTGGTTTTCCGTTGTTAAAGGTGGTGCAGTAGTGGACCCTGAAGTGGGTAGAAAGTAAAAATGAAATATTAAATGTACAGAACACCTGCTGCTTTCACATTTTGTACTACTGCTTGTTCCAAACACTGATACTGTAAACTCAGGTGTTATGTTACGATTTGAGCTTATTTTTCATCTACTAATCATCACTAACTGTCATCAGTAATTAATATAGAAGGAAGAAATAAACAAATCAAAATATGCTAAAACCACCACTTTGAGCCAGACTGAAACATCCAGCCATCGATTATCTACAAACCACTTAATCCTCACTAGGGTCATGGGGGGCTGGAGTCTATCCCAGCTGACTCAGGGTGAAGACAAGGGACACCTGGACAGGTAACCAGTCTATCACAGAGCTACACTTAGAGACAGACACGAACCAGCGACCTTCTTGCAACAAGGCAACGGTGCTAACCACCGATCCATCTTGCAGCCCACAGACTAAAGCATCTTAACCACAGTTAGAAGGATTGCTGTTAAATTTTGTGCAGCTATTCGTGGTCCCCAGTGGATGACTCCAACTCATCCTTTGACATTTCCTCTTGTGCCATCATGAAGTTTACTTTCATAGTTTTGGGGCAAAAAATATTTTGGCCTATATTTAATAGTTGCATTGAAGACAGACAAGAAATTATATGAAGAAACCAGAGGAATGACAAACAGGAAGTGGTTCAGATCTGGGAGTCAGACTGTGGACCTGTGTGGTATGTCTATTAGGCTGCCACAGGCTGTCGTGAAATGCATCCACATTTAAAAAAAGAAAAAAAATCTATCCAAATACCCATAAATATCACAGAACTAGCGACATTCCCATCAGTCTCAGCTGTTGTTTAGCATGCTCCCCATTAATTCACTATTTATAAGCAAATATGCTTTTATTTTGAAAAGATGCTATAAACTTTACTCATTGGGGCTGAATTTTGTGTTTTCCTTTCCATAAACACATTGCAACACCATAAATAGTGCAGAAAAAGCACAAATTGGTTCCTAAAAATCACCAGAATGCAAGAATCTAAGTGTTTGATTCTCCAAATGTTCTGGGGTAGGATGTCCAGACGCCTGTTTAATGCTACCCCCCCAATGTTCAAATGTGATCTATGCCCCTGATAACTTGTGATCCTGAACATTGTAAGTATTATACATGCTTTATGTCAGACTATAAATAGTGGTACCATTAACATGCTGACATTTTGATTAGAGTGGGACCTGACAGAGCTGCTAGAACGGTGGTAGACTTGTCTGAAATAATAAAACTAATTTTGTAGTTACATCTGTGCTGCTTGTGTTATTTTACACAACATTACCGGAGCAGGTGACCCCAGCGTCCTCATGGTGGCCACAGTTGTGTTTGCCCCAGCCCAGGCTTTTGCATTTCGTCAGGTCCGGTTCACTGCCGTAGCAGTGGACATTGTCCAGGAGAATCAAGCCGGTACCGTAGCCAAAGTAGGAGTTGGTGTGCGCTTGCATGGCGCTGCCGCAACCGAGCTGCTGGCACACCACCCAGGCATTACTGAGGTTCCAGTCATCATCACACACTGTCCCCCATTTTCCATGGTAGTGGATCTCGACCCGGCCCTGGCAGCTGTCCTGTCCGTTCGTCAGGCGGATGGCACCATCTCCTAAACACAGAGCCAGAGGAACAGATTTATATGGACTGTTGCTTAATGCATCGTTCTCTACAGGACATATTTTTAGACTCTGTAGGTTTTTATTAGAATCTCTATTGCCATCAGTTTGGGGGTTTCAAAGGACACATTGACTGCTGTGATTTGTGTGTTGAGGACAGAAGAAATGAGACACTGATCCAGAGAAAGGTGTGGGCGATACAATGCACACTGTGGGCCCAGAGAAAAAAAACACTGACGCTGGAGAATTAAGTGAACATCTGATATTGCACTACACACAGATGTTGTCATCTTACGCCTCTTCCACACAACAACGCAGACAATAGGAATTCCCATGTGTCCATCATTTAAGAGAACCATGGATCTGTTAGACTTCCCTACATCCCCAGTGGATTTTGTGACTGCCACCACAGTATTAGGTTGAAACGTCACTTGTTCACTAAATTAGATTCCGCTCTGATCTCACCATCCTCTGGGGATATGAGAAAAAAAACACGACAAAGGCAAACCTAGCGAACAATAAGGATGGCCTGGAATTCAAGAGGCCTTTGGGATGTGTTGTTCTGTCTCCTTGAAGTTTACAAAAGATGCGTCCCACTGCACTGACAAGTCTTTGATTTTGTCTAAAAGTTGCAAAACTGAAATAATATAGTGCTTTAATTACATTTTGGTATACTTTGTAATGATGCTGTTGTGTTTATGAGGAGTCCTGCATTTTGGACTCAACACAATGACAAAATTAGTCCATCTTTCATCATTTGATTAAAACCTGCCCTTGCACTTTGTGGTGACATCTGGCGCGCCACCTGTCTGCTAAATCTGTACATTTTTGATCCTGGAGCATAAAAACCAAATAGTCAGAAAAATGGTGACCTGAAGATGAATATTTTGTTTCCAGTGTCCTGTATGGTCGGGATTTTAAGATACATAATTTTCAAAATCTGCATCCGAGTGAGATAAGCACATAAACAGTGTGAGGTAATTATTTAGGACGGCGACAATGCAGCATCTGTCCTTAAAGCTTTATGCAAATCAGCCTGATGGCATGATTCCATTTTTGGAGGTGGCGGATAATTTAATCAGCTGTGCTCGCAGAAGATTAATTCCACGCACAGGTGTAGTTTGTTTCTCAAAGTCAAATGCTTAGACCTGCAATTAAATATTTGTTTGGACTGCAGCGAGGACTGGCTGTTAGAAAACCCTGGCATATTATCAGTTACCACCTCACACGTCCTTCAGAAACTGAGCAACATTAGCATTTATTTTGAGACATTTTTTGACGAACGAAGTCCAATATTTGCTGGTAAATCTCTGACTCTTTAACTGGTCACCACTTGAGCAGGATTTATACTTCTGCATACCCTACGCTCAAGAATGATGAGCACCTCCCCAGAAATATAACTATACGTATAGTGGTGACACAGATTGCAACGATTACGACTGGTCAGCTTGGTACAGTGGCAGTGATATGAGAGTAGTGAGAGTGAACCAAAACCAAAATGATTAATTGAAAGTTGCGACGAGGCTCCGTAGAGCTGAGAGGAAATGTAGTTTTAGTCATTTTTCTTTATTACTGTGATGTTGAGGCATGCAAGTGGCTTTGTGATCCACTGAATACAAACTGGTGCAGCTTTAGATGTGAACGGTGGAATTTGTCACGTTCATTAAACATATTTTCAAGCTGTCCTGTGGTTTCACTGCTGCCGGTTCTTGTTTAACTTTCTCACATAGACCCTGGTTAGTGTTTGTGGATTTAGCCCATTGTTTTTGTAGGTTTTTTTCTTTTAAGGACCAATATTTCCCTCTCACATTTGAGGTTGGCTGAAGACTTCTCTCATTTTGATAAAAGCAGAGTGTACTTACGTAAACCAGTGCTCTCCCGGGGTGGAGTGGTGCGATCCTCAAAGCCTCTAGACCCCACCGCCGCCTTGTCTAGCGGTCAAATGAAAACAGAGCAGCAATTTCAGTAACTGTGTCCTCTTTTCTTACCAGGGTTATCCATGAAAAGATTCCCGACTACAACTACCTACTTTAAATGCATATAAAGGCTTTACCTTTGCAGGTAACACCCACATCCTCATAGTGGTAACAGTTGTGGATGCCCCAGCCCTGACTCCTGCATTGGCTGAGGTTTGTTTCGTTTCCTCTGCAGTCCACATTGTCCAACATGATGGGCCCTGTGCCTTGTCCAAATGAAGAGCTGGTTCCCATTGCTGCGGCCATGCCGCACTCCAGCTGCTGACAAACCACGTTGGCGTCCACCATGTCCCAGTCGTCGTCGCACACTGTGCCCCATGAGTCGTTGTAGCGCACCTCCACTCTGCCCTCACACCTGTTACGCCCATTCACCAGTCGTACTTTGGAGAGACAAGCAGACAATATCTGTCAAGGCTTCTGTCTATCAGATTCATTTGACTTGCAGTGAAAGGTGAGGATGCTCAAATTGGTTGTAAATGTGCAATGAGAAATCCCACAAAGCCTCATAAAAGCTCTACTGTCTGAGGGACGTTTTCATAACATGTCTCTGAAAGAAAAAATGATATAAAGACGTCTGACTGGCATGGCTCTAATGTAATGACAGTTAATAGGAAGAAAAAAAACCTTTCTGGAATAATCCTACCACGTTAAGGCACACAATAAGCCACATGACTCCTTGGAAGAGAATGAGATGGATGCAGGAGGGTGGGAGGTTACATAGCAAATAAGTAGGGATTAGGGAAATGGAGAGCTGGGAAAGTGACCTTGTTTAAAAAGCCCCAGGCACTTCTCTACCTCCTGTCCTCTCTTTCACTGACACACTGCCAGACACTGATAGCTTTTCATGGTGTCACTTGGATGTGGACATGTTTTTAACAGAACATGAATGCTTTGGGAAGGTGAGGAAGTGGCCGTGGGGGTAGCTGTATAGCTCACACTTACCTTGATACAGCGTCGTCGCTGGGCTCTGCTCGCCATTGGCTAAAACAGGAGGGAGGAGGGATATGGGAGAGAAAGCGAGAGAGTATGGTCAAATTATTTGTTGAAAGGCGGTTCTTGGCCTTCCATAGTTACTGTACTCTATATCTACTATATCCATTTTCCTGTAATACTAGACACAGACTGAAACCACAACAGGAGGCCTGTTCAGTCTGTAGCAGCTACAACAGAAATATGTTCGCCGCCTGTGACTTTATTTGGGTTTTTATCCATGTTAGCGACATGGAAGAAAGGAGGAAGCCAACAACTATTGGATGGATTGCCATTCAGCTTTGTACAGACATCCGCAGTCCTCAGACAATGAATCCTACTGAACTTGTGGATCTTTAATTTGTGGTGCAGTATCTCATGGATTGCCATTAAGTGTGGTGTACACATCCATGTTTCCCACAAGATGAACTCTAACTTTGAGCTTACTTTTCCTGTAGCAACACTGTCAGATCAGAATATCAGTCAGACTCCGGATCTTGTCATTTGAAAGGTGAGAGACAAATACAATAAAGTAATATCTATGAATGTTGATTGCCTAAAAGATGGATGTAGGCTTTGGTTCTGAAAAGTGAAGCCAGGGGGTGCCCCTATAGCTCACCTAGTTGAGCTGCGACACATGAACAGGGGCTATAGTTCCCTGATGCAGCGGTCGTGGGTCCGACTCCTGCTCACGACCCTTTGCTGCAGGTCTCTCCCCATTCTTCTCCCCCTTTCCTGTCTATCTCTACCGCTCTAAACAAAGGCAAGAAAGCCCAAAAAATATATTAAAAAGAAAAAAAAAGTGATGCCAGTGCCGGAGTAATATTCATGCATCCATCTTCCACTTTTTTCCCGAGGTTTGGTCACGGCGGCAGCAGGACAAGCAGGCCGTTCCTGAAGTCCTTCTCCTTAGCAATGTTTTCCAGATCCTCTGGAGGGATCCCAAGGCATTCCCAGGCCTGATGGGATACGTAAGCCCTCCAGTGAGTTCTGGTCTACCTCCCTGTTGGATTTGAAGATCTCCAAAGGAAAGCATCCAGGAAGCATCCTAACCAGATGCCCGAACCATCTCAGCTTGCTCCTTTCAGTACAAAGAAACAGTGACTCTTCTCCGGGTTCCCTCCAGATGTCTGAACTCCTCACCTTATCTCTAATGCTAAGTCCAGCCACACTGCCGAAGAAACTCATTTTAGCTGCTAATGATCATACATGAGGGTTTGAACACAGATCTTTTGGTACACTGCACGACAGTCCAGAACATCATCTGTATTACTGCTGACACTGCACCACGATGTCTGTCTGACTCCATGCTCCATTTTACCATCACAGATCCCAAGAAACTCCTTCACTTGAGGCAACTCCAACGAAAAGGAAACCAATCTACCAGCTTTCAGCAGAGAACCGTGGCCTCAAACTTGAAGGTGCTGACTTTCATCCCAGCTGCTTTGCAATCAGCTGCAAACTGCCCCAGTGTGTGATGACAGTCACGGCCAACAGAATCACTTTATCTGCAAAAAGCAGAGACTTCGAGGTTCCCAAACCAAACACCTTTCTGACCCTGGCTGCGTCTTGAGACTCCATCCCTGGTTGTCACTAACAGGCACCTTGGTGGCACCCAACACCCACCAACAACATGTTTGAATTTGTGCTGAGAATTCAAACAGAGCTCCAGCTTTGGTTGTACAAGGACGGGTTGACACATAGCAACAGTCATGGTACCCCACACTCCTGTAGTACTCTGCACAGGGCTCCCTGGGGGACACCGTCAAAGGCCTTCTCTGTGCCCACAAGACACATGTGGATGGTCAAACTCCTGTGACCTGCTCAGCAACTCTGCAAGGGCAAGAGTGATCCACCGTTCCACATCCAGGATGGACTCCACATTTCTCCTCTTGAATCCAGGGTTTGATCCATTCCTTAACTGGAGCACACTCTCTGCTCTCCGTTGTTGAAATTTGTCTTTATTCCTTCTAACAGCCAGCAGAGGGCGACTCATCTAGTTGCAAAATTAAGTCAGATTATATACCTACTTCACACTTGATTTGTTACCACAGGAAACATTGTCCTACTGCGTTCATAGTAATAATTACCAGTTTCAAGGCTTCTTCAATACACCATGATGCTCATTTACAAATTATGGTCCCATATAGACGAGAAAGCAAGGTATGTTTTAGTGAGGGGCTACCTTGTGACTGACAAATTCTATCATCATACGTGTTGTCCTCATGTCCTCAGTAAGATTCATCCCTCACTAGTTACATCCAGTTTAAAAAGACCACAGTGTGATAACCAAATGTTAACCTTGAGGCTTAAAAACAGTAGTCTGTGAACCAATGAGTGATGTTACGGTGGCTTTGTCCGTCTTTATGTACAGTCTTTGTCCATAGCTGGGGAAATCGAATCAACTTTTTCTTGATGATGGCACATTAGGTTAATGCATTAACTTTGATGTTAGCAATACAATAAGTTAAACCAGTTAGGACATATTTTTATATGAAACATAAACGTGCACGTCTGAGGTGTGGGGGTTTTGATGCAACACGTTTTCCCAAGAGCCACATTGGAAGATGGAGGACAGTCGAACGCCTGAAGGCTAATATCTCAGATTTCAATGACGCACAAAGACACCAGAAAGCTGCTTTTTTAGACCATTACAACCAATGTGGGTCAATTCACATGCTTCTCCACTTTGTGTGTGACACTAAAACATGAACAGTAGGAACATACTTCACCGGTTTACAGTGTCACATGCAGGTGACACCCTGACTTATTTTCTGTGGAGGGTCAAAGAAGTAAATTGTGATCAACTTGAATGTTACTTACTGGATACAGCTCGTCTGCTTACTTTCATGTCTCCTGAAATTGAAATACAAAAAAGGTTAGCAAGGCACACATTTGGACATCTATCAGAAGATAAAACCAATAAGCTGGTGTCAGCACGTTTAAATAAAGTTCTCCCTATACATGTGCTGATCCAGTGAGTGGAATTGATCCTGGCTCGCTTCAAAACAACTTCAGGGCTTTCAGCCAGCCATCACTGAGGCAGACAGTAACTGTGGACACAAAAGCACTCATCTACAGGGAGTTCACTTGCAGGTACACCCGGTTCTTCAGCATTATTAGCCCCTCAAACATGTGTTTAAGCATTGACACAAGAAATCAGCTCATGTGTCACATTATGCTTCCTTCAGTGTGTGACTGTAGCAACTATTTCTTTGTTAAAATATGCAGAAGCTCAAAGTGAATTTAGTCTAATGGACATACTGTTAATTGCCCTCTTTCAAAATTAAAATTACTGTTATGTAATTGTAAATGGCCACCATTTTACTTAATCACATGCAATAGTCTATGTTTATACCTTTTGGTAAATGAAAGACGTGGCCTTGACCTGTTGTACTCTTTTGGACGATCCCAGATGGCACCGATGGCCTTCATCCCCCCACATCCACACACACTCACCGAGTCGCAGCAGAGCGCTGACGGCCACCAGGACGAGGGATCCCAGCAGGGACACCAGGAGCCAGACGGCCGGGTTCCAGCACCTGCACACGCTCTCCACCACACGCTGGCCTCGCATGGCTGCCTGACTGACCATCCGCCTGCAACACACACATTCACACACATTCTCAGTCGCGCTCATCCGGCTTCCCGAAGTCTTGAGCCGTTCGAGAAACTGTATGTAACAGACCAGATACTTTTCTAATACTAGAAAACAATCACTATTTCTTTTTTGTCCTGGTTCAGAGTAGCCTAATTATAGTATTGGATTGTTTTCTCTGATGGAGCCTGCAGCTGTTGTTATTGTGCTGTAGTAGAGTATCGATGCTAGTCTGAGGTCAGTGCTTGGCAAATGTGTAGCTCAAAAAGAAAATCGTTTGCAGAGATCACATGTCGCACGTCCCTCCCCACGGACGTGAAAGAGCTGTAAGAAAGCTCTAATAGTGACCGGTCACCCAAGTTTCTCTGATACGATCAAAAGCTACCAACTATTGATGCCGTTGCCAATAACATACCAAAAACAGGGTGCTGAGTTACATCGCTGTTTTGTAAGCACAAAATGGCCGCCGCGCTCCAACCTGGCAGCGGGGTGAGGTCTGCTACCGTGATGGTTGGAGCGGGGACGTTCAGTTTGTGAGCATCATCAGCAGCAGCAGCTGTGGAGGGCTTGTGTTACAGACAGAGGCAGACACCTGTGTCACTGTTTTCAAGGGGATTTTCCTTCAGACATAGAATATTGGGATTCACTGACAATCACTCAGTCATCAGATTTAGATAGTAAAGGTGGCCAGACACTGAATACCCTGCATTCCGCTCAACCGAGAAACTGAAATGAATGACATTTATCTAATATTGCGAAATGATTCTCGCTCTAAAATAGGAATTATATATTTTTTAAATGCAATACAGTGTCAAATTTACAATTTAAAATATAACTTTAAAGCATGAGTGAAGGAGCTGCCTACAAATTTCAGGTTAAGTCTTCTAACTCCACCAAATGCTTGATTAAATATCTTCGTTTGTTTGACTTTGCTTCGTCCTAAACTGTTCAACCAGTTGTTTAAACTTGCAAGTCTGTGTCAATTTAGTTAAAATAGACTGTTGTGTCAACCTTTATTTAATTTAAATTTGCTAATTAACTCCTTTAGTGGCTCTTTGAACATCTATTTCATTATAATTAATGATGTGCTTTTATTCAGTTGCAGACTTTACTCTTCATTTAACGTGAAGAACTTGCTGCTCATTTAAAGCAAATGTCCCAGAGTTGAGTTTCGGAGTGTTGTTCACAGCTTTCGGTTGTTTGTCCCTTTGCTCATGCAGAATTCCCCCCTGACCTTACACAGGAATGTGTATTAGGGGATGATGAGGGGAGAATTTGATATTGGCCCCTCGAGATAGTGGACATTCCGGGCCCAGGGGGCACAAAAAGACATTTCTGCTTTCTGTGGTCCCCATCGTCAGGCATAAACGCTGCTTCCTGCAATCTGTCACTAGAACCCTCCAAAACGCTTAGGCACCTGATGACACTGCAGGGGCGCCTCTCATCTCCTTGAAGAGCAGGAGGCAAGGAGAAACAGGGGGGATGTTAAATTATTAAGCCGCTCTACTGTAAACATACAGTGACCATCAGCTGGTGGACGAACATTTAACTCAAAACCTTTATGAGGCCATCAGCGGCAAGGAAACACTTGACACCGGCTGCAGAAACAGCTCTAGACGTGTAGGTTTGAATCCAGGTCGAGGCAGTCACATTGTGTGAAAAGGTGCAGCGTAGAAGGCCAAAGGCCCACAGAGAAGTCATTGTACGTCCAATTGGGAGGTGGGGATTTTAACACCAGCACAGCGCTCGAGAACCAAGGCTGTCTCATTTGCAGACTGTACCAACAAACCACTCGAAACTCCGGGACAAATGGCTCAGTTATGAGGGATGAAAAATAATCTAGTCCCCAATGTTATGTTTTTCAATACTCCATTCATGGTGGGATGTAGCGCAGATCCGCTGGGGAATAATGTTGCCTTTTGTGTCGGCTCTGCTTCCCCTCCCTTCTCACTTCCCTGCGCTGAGAAATAGCTGAAAGATCTCAGCCCCACAAAAATACCCCTTAATGTCTGAGATAAACCAGAGAATAACACTGTCAGTTCCTTTAACAGAGAGAATTTTGAGCCATTTAAACAGAGAATCAAGGCATTTGTCAGCATGTGATCCGACCATATGAGCAATATTTCTTTAGAATTTTGTGACAAAATTAAAACATTTTGGAAATCTTAACAGCATTAGTTAATATTAGTATTTCAATAAACCTGACTTTATGTGATCTCAGCTGTTTCCAGCAGCACTACACAGTATGAACATCTTACATAAATCTGTCTCTGTGTGTCGACACGTTCACAGTGTTATAAATGCACAGTTATAAAGAAACAACTTCAGTGGCAGAGAAAAGGCAGATTAACAGATATTACCATCCGCTGATTTGTCACAGAGCCAAGTTCATGTTACCAAATGATTCAATAAATGCATTTAAATAAAGCAAAATAAACTTTCATGAAAAAAAATAATACATACCTTGTTGTAAAAGTTTTTATCTTGACCACAATAAAAATAAATAAAAATAAAATAGGTTTCCTCCCACCCACAAAAATGTAAAAAAAAATCAGGGCTCAAATAGCAGGCAGCTTAATTCCACAAGTCACACAGAAAATACAGAAAGTTTGCATAGAAATGGAGGCAAGAAAGTCAGAGTATCCAGCGCTACGTGTTTTAGGTCTTTCATCTCCTTAACCCTGCATGACTATAAGTACCTGGCTTCAGTGACACAGGTTACGTAAAACAATAAATACCAGAGCATTGTATGTTAATAATCTAACGCCCTGTACCTGTCTATGTTTAAAAGAAGCAGGAGGGGCAAGGGAAAAAAAAAAAAGAAGAAAGACAAAGACAATGAAAGCTAACCCTTTACTGGTACCCCTGCATCTCCAGTTTCAGGTAGCGCTCTCAGAAGGTGCGGTCCTGATCATCCCTGCACACACAGAGACCGGGCTGTGGCTGAGGTCCTGTATGTGTGTTGGTGCACAGGACGCTCCCACACAGCCGTGCTCTACAGCACAGGACTGGGCCATTACGAGGAAACGACACTGATGAATCAGAAAGTCGTGCACAGTCGTCCCCAGAGACCATCATCCAGTCCAATTTTCACGCGTTACCAAAAAATGATCACCATGTGCTTCTGATGAAAAAAAAAAAAATCTTCAAACTCCTTCCTTCTCCAAAAGAATAACTGCTTCCTTTTTATTATTTCCAACGTATTCCAGTCAGTGGTTTCATGTGTCAATGCAGTTGTAATTCATCTAATATTTTATATTACATAAGTCCTGACAAGGAAAAGCCCAGGGCCTCTCTGAATCGTGCATCACACTAATACCACTTGCTTCCAAACACTAATCCTTCCTGAGTTGTGGAGAAAACATGCAGGCTGTCCGTGGCCATTGTCTGGGCTTTCAAGGATCAATTCAAGGCTCCTTCCCAAGGTGTCACCCCAGTCTGTGGCTGCGCTTCAAATAGATGGATTCTGTTACACTAAGCTAATTTTCTGAGCTTCCTGAACAGGATTAAGAAGACACAACACCACACACACAAAGCTGTATTATTACTAGTAACCTGACTGAATGAAAACTTGTCCTGTTTCTTCGGCCGCACCGTTTTCTTTACCAGAGAACCCACAGCAAACAGGTGGGAGTTTAACAAATGAATATGAAAATGAATGTGTTTTTCTGTCAGAAAACCAAAATAATCGTAGCACTGAGTACAGAATGATCCATTACTACTAGATAAATACTTTCAGCTGTTAATACCTCTATTGTATGTGCAGTGCATAACTTTTGTTTTACATCAGCACTGTCAAACCAAATATTGTTGGTGAACATAAACACATCGCTATCGGGGCACCAACACAGGAATGTAGCCACAGACATCTACCCCTTCATCCTCACCCCAACAGGTTGAGGCAGATGGTCGCCCTCCCTGGGCCTGGTTCTGCTGGAGGTTTTCTTCCTGTTAATAGTGAGTTGGGGAAAATAGTCTTTTCTCCATGTAGAGGCCAGAACAGATGCCTTTTTTCCACATTTGTCTAATGCCTAAGATCTGAGTTCAGAGTTGAACTTCTGGTGACACCTTCAAACTGAGAAGGGTTTAAAAGAGTCAAGTTTAGGCCTTATAGTCAAAATCATGAACTGAAAGATGTTAAAATGCTCTATAGAGTTGAGGGGGACTGCAGATCTGGTAAAGGTTTCTCACGTTTAACCCTCATGTGACTTTACGGAAACGTTGAGGACCTCTTTTTAAACTTGATACCTTCATGGTTTCCACACTCCCTTGTACGGACTAATGCAGACTTTGTAGGTGGACAGACATGCAGTTCTCTTCATACTACCGTGGGTACGTGTCAAACAGAGGGGTCTACATGCACCCTGGGGGGTTTGGGTATATGATGATGCTGATGTCACGTGTAGCTCGTGGACCCTTGCAGACATGCAGGTGCAGAAAGCAAGAACTGTCCTTTACTATAAGCAACCACTTCCTCTTCCAACCTTGCAGACGCATCAACGCAGCTGTAAACGCCACGGACACCATGGACATGAAGTCACTGCTATTACAATACTTGTCTAATCTGCAAAGATCTCTTTGGAGGACACCGTTCCATACATGTGTGGTAATTTGTATCTACAAAGGTACTGCGAAAAATTCTCTGCCTCACCCAGACACAACGGGTGTAACTCCCATTTTGGGGCATAACTGTGTTCAATAAAGCCTTACATCACTGTGCAAAAAAACTGAAATGTTTGAAGTAATCAAACAAAAGAGGAGAGTTAGCGCGGTGTTGCTACAGGACAATGCACCTGTCCGGCCAGCACACATGGCGGATACAAATAAGGCACAAGGTGGGACCTTCTCTAGGGATAGCGAAGCTTGAACATTGGTGAACCCAGTGAATTTATGTTATAGAATACTAAAAAGAATACTAAAGAATACTATCTTGTAAAAACAAAAAAGGAACCATCTTTCTCCTCCTACATTTCTTGCAGGGGCCAAGAACTTTTTGA